ATATTTAATGTATTAAATGTGGTTGGCCTTAATTCCTTAGTAAGTCACTTTTTCAAAACCTAGCTGAGAAGGATCGTTAGGAACAGTATTAATTTAAAACTGATTTTCTTGGCTCTAGGTCATGAACTGCAGCTTTCATTTTTATTGTTCTCAGGATCCAGACATCATGCACTTAGTCTGAGAACAAGACCATCGATCAAAGGATACGTCTGGAGTATGCTATTCATTGGGGAGCAGACAGATGCCTTTTTGAATGTTTAATCATGTTGGTAGTTTTAAAAGGAGAAAAAAGTCTGAGTTTGCTTGCACAGAGATGTTCAGGCTCAGTTTTACTTAAGACCTTTTGTACAGAAAAATGGTGAGAATTGCCAGTTGAGAATCCCTTGCTTGCTTGTTTCCCAGCTCGGCAATATAAGTTCCAGTGCTGCTCTGGCTGGAGTGTTGATTTTTGTACTTGGTCAGTCTTTTATAGACTGACCTAACCAGCAGAAAAAACTTTGTAAGCAACAGCAGGCAGTCTCTGCAAGTCGTTTCTGTATTCAGCAGCTACTTATCACAAGACCCTTCTAATAAGGGTTCCAGTCTAGGGAGAAGAAGAGAGGAATGCCTTGGTATCAGAGCCAGGGACAATCATTTAACTAAACACTGTGTAAATATATATAGCACAACAAAGTTGTTAATATGAGAACAGATACTGAAATAACTAAGTTATTGTTTCCTCCAGGTATTAAGAAATACTGTTTTACTTGCACCAATTTTATCTGACCAAGTTCAATTGACCCCTCACCTAAAGTCTGTTCCAGCTCTTGCTCAGTGTTGTTCACGATTTCCCATCAGCAGACAGGTGTTTAGCCATTTGCAGGAAAGCAGGGACTCAGCACACACAGCAGTTACTTGGGAAGACAAATGCCGTAACCACAAACATCCCCCTCCTTCCTCCTCCTTTCGCTAAGCTTTTATTGCTCAGGTTGGGAATATCCCTTCGGTCAGATGGGATCAGCTTTCCTGGCTGTGTCCTGTCCCAACCTTTTGCCCAACCCCAGCCTACTCGGGTGGGGGAGCCTTTGTCACCTACTCTAGATTTTCCATTGCATCGCTGGAGTGCGATGGCAGCGACGTAAGGTGGTGCCACTACAGCGATGCGATGCAAAATCTAGAGTAGGTGACACCAAAGCATGTACAGGCTCTGCAAGGGACTCTAGCAGTGGCACTGTTGGGTTCCCTCCTTCTGGCATATTCATGCTGCTGCAAACGCATTTATTTTACAGAGCTAAATCTGAAATAAGCTGGAGATTGGAGACAAAAAATAATTTCCCTGATACTGTCCTGCTAGAGAGGGAGCTGCTTTAAAGTTTCCATCTTTTTAATATTTTTCAAACTGTGTAAAGTGGTGTGATGGTCATGTTGGTGTGTTGGATAGTAACAAGAACAACTTCTACTCCGTACTCTATTTGAGGGTGTCCCATTTTTACACACCTTTCAAAATGACACTATAAATCCCTAATTTACTAGAGAAACTTGAAAAAAAACCCTCACCATTTTGAAAATGCATGCTGTAGTGTTGTTTTCCGAGACCCAGCATAATTCATGCTCTAAAAATCTCCTACTGTCACACCCTGCTGCTATTTGTTAGACTGTTTCACTAGGGAGAGTGAGTGAAAGTCAGTAGCACCCTAACCTGCAAGGTTACAGCCCTGCTGGGCTGGATTTTTTTCCAGCACACCCAGTTTGGGAGGCTGGACAGTGTTTCTGAAATCCTACTCAAAAAGAGCCTTTGGAGCGGTAATTCTACTCCTGACCCAGCTCACCAGTGGTTCTTTGGCTAAATATGTTTACAGAAGTAATACCGTGCTCTATTGCAACATGTTTTTCATTTGCTATTGAAGACCCAACTTTTCTGGGAGAAAACCCAACTTCATTACCTAATAATGTGGGATTGCAAATTTGTAAGCTTAGGCAGTTCAGTGACTCTGTTTATTTTTAAAACATGTCTTAGTGGGTTTGATGGCAGAGAAGGCCTTTTCCAGTGCTGTTGTCATACGGAGAGTGGGGAATTTAAAGACATGCTTCTGATGTTTGTAAACTACAAATTACGGGTAATCATTTTCCTTGTAAATCCACAGTTGGCACACTTTTATCTTCTCCCAAGGTAGGTTTAGCCCAAGGGGCTACAACTTTCAAATGTTTGTGACAAATTACGAAATACCTATCAAGTTTTCCATTTCAGACTAGCAACTTCTTGAGTGCTAGGCTGCTTTGAAGGGACCACTGGTTTTCGTTTGTATGCCCTTCTGAATCCATGGCTGTAGGTTTAAATTAGATCTGCTGAGGTAGTTTCATGAGCTTCTGAGTCAGGACAATTGCTTCAGGCCTGTTGAACTTAAAAGACGTTGCCTTGCCTTAGAAACCAAGTCTGCTACCAACTTTGAATTTCAGTTACATTCTTAGGATAAAGCCCTTCATGGCTTTCACTAAATTAAAGAGGTTGAATTTACATCTACTGCAAGTGCTTCTGGCACAGGAGACAACAACCACTGCTGCATCAGAAGGCAAAGATGTGTCAGCTAGTTAATTAGGATGAAGAGAGAAGTTGAGCTCCTCCATCGAGGGAGGTGTTTGTGCACCAAAAGCCAAATCATATGAGCACAGATATTTGGATTTTTGATGCTGTTGCTTTTGTGCAGTATACACTGTTACCCTTACCAACCATTGCATTCCAGGAGTTGCTTTATATTTTGTGTTGAAATTATCTCCAGTAGCTTGAACATTTAGAGCATTGTTTTTTAAAGAGTGATACAATCACCTTCTCTGCTGCCAGATTAAAAAATATACATCTTTTGTTTCTTCAAAAGCAAAGTTGAAAGGGTGTGATTTGGAGCAGTATTTTTTCTTTCCTGCAAGCTTTTAACAATTTTAAAGAAATTATAAAGTATGATATAGCAATAGTAGCGCATTATCAAGAGCAAAGAAGCAAACATGCAACTAGCATGAAGTCTTTCTAGGTTGGCACCTATAAATTAAAACACGCCAGCTGATCTGCAGCTGTAACAATCGGTAGTCTGTCACAACTCCTTGCTATGAGCCAACTGAAGCCTAGAACTCTGTTCTGCTTTATTGATGCAGGTCTAATAAAAATATCTTCTCTCCATTTATAGTGCAGTTGCTATGTGGGGCCTGCTCTGATGTCTTGTTCCTGCTATCAAATGTTTTACACTGCATGCTGGTTGGTACTTCTGGGCAGTCAATTGAGGATTTGGTATGTACTCATTCATATTAGATATTTTACCTATTTTTTTATAGTGAGTGAAGAGGGCTGTGATAAAGCCCATGTTTTGTGATGATAGTGAGATGCACAAGGCAGAGATCGCTGACAGTGAATTTAATTATTTGTAATTAAAAAGGAATGAATTTCCAGTATTTCTGGCTAAAACATGTTCTGTGTTAGTAATCCTAAACTGTCTCTGAACTCAGTGTTTGCATATGGACAGAACTGATTCATGTATGTGACATCTGACATGAAGTGCCAGATTCAATCACATGAGGAGTGATGAAATGCAAGTGCATTTAGAAGAAACAACTCTTAACACATAGTAAGCTTGCTTGCATCCTCATGTGCTTTGGGATAGTCTATGCCAAATTTGGCTGTCATCTTCATTTTTAAGAAGTGAGCTCTGTGCCCAGCTTCCCTGTGGTAGATAAGCTCCCTTCTAGAAAACAGCACCCTCAAAGCGCCTGTTACACCTACAGTAATTGGCATTTACAGAAGGGAAAAGCTGGGGAAGTTATCCACGTGAAAACAGGGGGTTTGATGTCTCGTAAGAAGCCTGAGACTTTATGCAGGCAAAGTATTTCCACATCTGCTCCTGTCCTAGGGTGAGAGTTGGGTTTTATTGCCTTTTAAGGGAAATGTGTAATCTCCTTCATTTTTTTATGTGAAAGATTAGAGTATAACTCATGCAAAAATCATTAACCTGTGTTTGAAGAAATAAAAAAATTAGAGAATTGAGTGTGTCTGTCTGCTTTGGGAAGCTGAGGAGAGTGAGGTAGCATTTTTAAATTTCTGTAACAAATAGAACTAAAAATACATAAAGTTTCAGGAGTTGAAGCATATGAAAAATGCTAAGCATCATACACTGATGCTTCAGAATCCCTGTATATACTGTGTTAAAGGTGAAGTACTTTGAATTGCAACGTAACCATGATGAATTGGGATCAATGGGGACACTGAATAGGCATTAACAATCAATATCCAATATAAAATAAGAAGAATGTGACGTAGTTGTGAAGCCTCAGTATGTTGTGTGTGGTTTATACATTGAACTCCACAGTAAATACTCCCAATATCTTACTGATTGAACTAAATTTACAGGTCATGATCCAAATTTAACCAGGCTTTTTTTTTTTTCTTTTTTTTTAAACTTTGCTCTTAGGCCTTTGCTCCTTGCACTGTTGTGTTGCTGTAGTTGTAAAACACAACCTGCTGAACACTTAACAGTATCAGGTCAGTATGCCTCGATAAATTTATGTTTCTGTTCCTTTACACAAATGAGAATTTCAAGATGCAACTCAGCATGGGCATGTTAGTGTTTGTATACATCTGTCACTTTAACAAACTTACTGGAAAAAAAAATCAGTCTTTACCTATTTATGTTGAAACTTATTTTTAGAGTTCAGTACATTTTCTAAATAAAAGATGTCTGCCTTAATATTGTCTTGCTGTTTTCAAAGAAAGAGGCAGTTAATTTAATACTACTGACTCTCATCTCTTCCAAATCCTCTTTTCTTATGAAGGTATCTATTAGCTTTTCTTCTTAATTTTTATTTTCTTTTTTAGTTCATTGAGGTTCCACAGATGTCTCTTGGAGTGAGGTAATCTTACATCAGTGACCCAGGAAAAACCATCTTCTTTCAAACACCGTACCTGTTTTCCTGGCCTAAACTCACACTGATAACATTCAATGTTAATACACTTTTATCTCTATGAACAACTCTTCAGGAAACAAGCTAACAGAAAATGAGTTCATTTTCTGCAGCCACTTATGTACTTCTATAATTACAAGACTGTCCACAAATATGTTACAGTAGATTTTTTTCTTTTCCTGCAAGAGCCTAGAAACGTGATTATTACCACATAGAGAAGCTCAGTTTCTCCAAGATCTTGCTACAAAATTTTCTTGTAGGAATCCAAAAGATAATGAGCATACACCATTAATGGATTGTGTAAAAGATGCAAATTTGTATCCAGGAGATAAGAGAATTTTAATTTATTGATTATTTGCAATTAATGCATTCTTTGTGACTTGTGATTGCCTCTGGTGTTAAGGTGGTTGAAGAAAAAGGTGCCAATTCTTGTATAATTCTAAACAGCTGCTTGAGAAAGGTATTTGTTTATGTCCCTATCTTGAATTATACCTATGCATTATGTACTTGCATGAACTGCTACAGAAATTGAGAGATCAAGACATCCAACAGGCCACGCATTTGTAAGTTACTTGAAATGTGTTTGAAGTCACAAGCCTAAGCTGTTAGATGACAGAACCCAAAAAGGAGTAAGAATTATCTCTACTGTAGAATAGCTTAAACTATGACAACTACTGATGCTGCAATATATGGCACTGGCAATACAGTGCTAGTGAGGGTACAGCTCTCCTCCTGAATCAAAATGAGCTGCAAGAATTGTCATTTTGCTATTATAAACGCAGCTCTGCTAGTGACTTTCACCATCCCAACTAGCCTTGCACCCTTACACCCCTTGAGGCATGAGGCTAAAACATGCTGCTTTTTTCCTTTGATGTTCAGAAGTCTGCACAAAAACAAGGCCATAGTGCTGACAGTGAGAAGTTACTGTGCAGAAAAGGACAACTGCCCAGTTATTGGTTAAAGAGTGGGAAAAAAAAACCCACAACCTTGGGTTCATTTTGTGAGAAGCATGTTGTATTCTAGTTCTCCTGAGCTGTCTTTGGATTTCACAACATCACAGGTACATACCCTGCAGCAGGCTGGGACTTTGGATACTTTTACCAGCATGCACAACTCCTAGAGAATCTCAACAACAAAGGAGGTAAATGATGTAAAGAACAAGAACATCCTGAAGGAAAAGCCCAACTTGGCTCCTTATTGGTTTGTTAATCATTGAGATTTGCCTGATAAGTGAGGCAGGGAATAAAAGAGTTTGAGGCTGAATTTGTAGCCAGAGTACAATGTGGTGTTTAAATGATCTTTCTGTCCCCAGCTGCAGAGTGCAGACTTGGCCCTATGTGTGATTCAGAAAGGAGCTGGAGCTAATGGAATCCACTACTACATCTTGCAGCTGAAGAAGCACCTTCTCAAAAGATGCCAAACAGAAGGCATGTGGCCAGGGAACAAGAGATGCCCACTTTGGGCAGATGAAAGCTTCACTCTCAAGTAGAAGGATAAAGATTTCACTCCTTGCGCAGTTAAGTATACACACTATAGAACCTGAATGTATTACCTAAAAAGCGAGCATAAAATAAATCTAGAACTAAAGGCACAGTTTGATGGACCAGTATAGAAATTTTGGATCTAAAACCAGCCTCATTTTACACTGATACAGAATTTCTTTCTCTGACTGTGAACACAAAGATGATACAAATTAATACCAGACTGTAACATAGGAATGACTACAAAATTGCATATACTGGATTTATTGAACAGTAACTCTTTACCCAATTTTGGAATTTCACAATATTTAATCAAATTGTGTGGACTGCTAGCATGCATGCTAGTTCTTATTTAGTGATATTTTATAATTATTAATGATAATGAAAAAAGTAAACTCTGCAAATATTCAGACCATGCAAGAACTCATATCTTAACACAGCTGAACAGATAGCAACTTCTCTAAATGAAACATCATATATTTAAAATGTTTCACTTTATTAACAATAAATTAATCTGTGGCATCACTGATCAACAAAACACTAAAAGATAAAGTGTACAGATTGTCTACATACTGATCAGAAAGGCAACATCATTGCTACCTTCATAAAAAACAGAGCAATGCTAATGAGCTTATATACATATTTCATTTTCAAGCATATGAACAACACTGTGAGAGAAGAAATACACTTCCACGTTTCCCTAATTTTTCTATTAAATAAGGCAATAATAAAAAGCATAGTATCACAGTAACCTACTTAAAACTCTAGATACTGAGTCCTGACATAATACAGTGCTCAGAGGAATGTGCAAAAATAAACATTTGGATTTGCACTTTGATTCTTCATTGTGTAAAATTAAAAAAAAAAACCAAACCAAACCAAACACAACCACAAAACCACAACTGTTCCAGATTCTGCTGTCAGGAAAAACAAAAGAAAAGCTTCTGGGAGAATCCAAACTGACAAAGCTGTTCTTTCAGCCCGTGGCACTATTTGGAATATCTTGAGCATCTGCTAAATGCAGTTTTTGGCTGAAGAAAACCATTAAGGAATAACATTTCACATATAGATAAGGTATAGATAAGATACTATGTTACACAAAACTATGCTTCGTCCTGTGGCAGGTATGCACCAGTCCAGATGACTTCAGTTCTCAGTCCTATGCTAGTTCTCAACCAGTAGATTAATCTTCCTCAATGAGACTTAAGCATTACATACCTCCAGAATTAGCTAGCAGATCAAGGGGGACAACAGATTATTTTTATCACTATTGTGTGATAGTAACATCCCATTCCACTTGTGTTCTTTATGAGACCTAGCCTTAAACAGCTTTCCACAGACACAGAGAATGTATATACCAGTGCAGTATCTCAAGTCCCAAACCAGAGTCCCACTTGCCTCAATGCATACAAAGTGTGTAAGATCAGAAATAACTAGACTGCAGTATAAACTGAATGTAACACTCCTCAACTGTGTTCTCAGCTTATCAAAAGCATGATGTAAAAGACAAGCCAAGACATTCAACTATCCTCTGGGTGGGCTAAGAGCACACATTTGTTCAATTACCAAAGCTCTGCTGAAGTATTTGACTCAACTGTAGTCTGACCCTAGAAACAAAAAATTAGGTCAGTCCACTATTCAGAGTAAAATCAGTGATAAACAGCTGCACATATTTCTAGAAAAAAAAGATAATGGGATTCACTTATCAATGGGACAGAACACTCTTCTGAATACTATAAAAGGAATATTACTATGTATGTTTGTTCTAGAGTGTCTCAGCAGGATGCATGAAGAAAGACCTTGCTTCTGAGGGGCTTTGCCATCAACTGCCAACACGCTGTCTGAAGTGGTACACGCTAGCTAAATAAATCGCTGTATTAAAAAAAGGCCTGTAATTAAAAGTCTTAAGATCCAGTCATTTATGTAATGGAAGAACCTAAAATCCATGCTGTATTACACTACTAACTTAAAAGAAAGGATGTTATTGAAGCAATTTGACTCCTCTAAAGACACCAGTTACTGGGGAAATATACTGTAATTTGATTACAGTTAACAATAATTATAATGCAAAATATACATTTAAGGAAAAGGATACATAGATGAATTCAGTTCTTCTAGCTGCAATATAAATGTAGAAAGTATCAGAAATAGCATTTCAGTTAGTCAGATGCAACAATTATGCTGACACGATGAAATAAATACATTAAGACAGTGAAGGAAATCACTAATAGTGTGGGCTGAAATATATGATTTTATTACAAAAGACAAAGCAAACCTGCACTGAGCTAAATCCCAAATTAAACTTACATCTTCTGATCTCAGGAAATGTAAAGATATTTTAACAGTTTTGGTTTTTATGGAAATACACTAGAGAAAGGAAAAACTGAAAGTGTAGAATATACAGATCTAAATTCCTTGTTGTGTGTGGTCTTCCCCAGATGCAGGAGGATGGACCACAGGGAAAATGGCTGTAGTTCCCTGGTACATTGGCTGTCTCTAAACAGGCCTACATCCTCAGACAGCTTACAGCTAGACTGCTCCACTCACCAAAACAAGCAGCAGCCTATCAAAAAAGGAAAACAAGGTACTGTGTTTTCTAAAACCAAAATGAGGCCAGGGCTTATGTCTTGGGTGATTACAGAACTACTTCTCCTCAACTGTAAATCACTGCCCACCCAGTAGTGTTGTTTTCCTGAGCTGAGTGCTGTGGACAAAGTTCCATATTTTCTGCCTTCCTAGTACTTACATCTGACAGCAGCCTATCCAGGTTGGAGTCACTGGCTAGTTTTCTTTTGTCTTCAGGGAGTTCTTCCAACTCCCCATAGAGCTCCAGATTGAGGCGAGCAAGTTTCTCCTGCATACTCCGCACGTGCTCCATCTGCTCTATGGAACATTCATTTCCTAAAAGGATGAGCAACAGCTTTATCTAAAAGACACCTGATAGAGCAAATGAAGGTGTGAAGATGCAGCTTTTTACATCAGAGAAGAGGAATTTAAACATCAAATTTACAAGTTAATTCACTTCTCAATGATTTTTCCCTGTTTCACTACTGAAATTTCTGTCACCCTGTCTGGTGTTACATTGTGCTGAACTTAAAATAACCACCGAACGTACTAACCTGGTTTTTAGCATATACGTGTTTTTCCTATACTCAGAATTTTTCTCTGATTTAGGAAGGCCCATATGATCATAAATATGATCACAATAAACCTTCTTTCTAATTTTGATAAATCTTGAGGGTTTCTTTCTTGTAACTGATGCTTTATATAATACAAACTTTTCAGGTTCTCTTGTAAAACTGGTGTGGAATTAACATGACATGCTGACCTAACACTAAACTTGCAAAAGCATATATGCATCTTTCTACACAGTACAGGGAAAAAATGGAAGCACAAGAGTGTCATGGGTTTTGTTTCTTTTTTTTGAAACCTCCATCAACTGTGAAGTAGTAAGAAGAATAAGATGCTAAGACAGAAGAGTAAGCTGGGTAAAATGCAACTTGCATTGGATTCCATAAAAGTTGTTACCAACAGTCTAAAGAGTTAATATGCTGCAAAATCAGGTGCTAAATACAGTTACTTCTTATTATTCCTATACTGTCATAAATGACTTTAAACTTGGTATCTTAAATCCATAAGCCAAGGTACTGCCTTTGGTATGCCCTGCTGGAAGCAACAATAAAATGGCATTTCAATCATCTCACACCAAAGACAACATTACAATAGGACTACCATTTAAAAATGCAGTAAGATCTATTAAGTTATGTTAAACAACATTTGATATAGCAGAGACCAATATGACAAACTGGCAGTCTGTCTGTACAGCCCATTTCTTTGCAAATGTTACCATCGTATAGCTATAAAAACAATTACTGTACACAGACAATTCATGCACTTACCAAATGCTTGAAGTTTGCCAGAGTGAAAGTCATTCAGGAGACTCAGAAGTCCCCTTTCCATTTCCTGGACATCTGATACATCTGTGAGAAAAGAATGTTGGATTGGTGCTGCCTGTGCCCCTTTTGCTTCGCCTCCTGGAGGTTTGGCTTTCTCTTTTATTACACTGAAAAAAAAAATAAACAAACAAACCAAAAAGATTACTTCCTGCTTTCACTTTAACTGAGAATCTGTAATGTAAGATAAGTGTACATCTGGGCTTTGAAAATGAAATGGAAAAATATACAATAAATATTTCAATCACTTCTTTTAAGTTAAAAAATGGATCACCAGTTTGTCTTAAGAATAAAGAACAACATCACTGTCTTGACAGTTTAATACTGCAAAATGGATTCCAACAATCTGCTTTCCTACTAATAGTGGGAAACATCAATGGAGCACATGTATGTTGTAATGGCCATCTTAATAATCTGAAGAGGACCAATACCCAACAATGGCACACGGGGCATTACCTGTGTAAAATCACCCAACAAGCATGTGCAAATTCTCTTTAAGCCAGGGAGAAAAATCCTCAACAATCGTATGCTCCTATTGTTGCAAACACCTATAGACTACAACCACTGTGGAAAACAATTCCTTACAACCTATACAGGAAGGTGGCCTTGCCTCCAGATAAATTTTCCTAGAGCTCCTTCTTCCCACCTTCAAATAACATCCCAATTTTGTAAAACTCACCATCAAAAACAGTCTCCCAGTACTCCAACACATACCAAATGGTACTAGTCCATGCCCAAACAAATGTTAAGTGTGCTAAAAATTATCTACAGCCCCCTCTGCAACAAAACCATCAAAATTCCTGGATGCCATATATTTTTCTCTAGACATAAAATTTACTCAGAGCACCATGTGCCCATAGAAGCTACATGAATGAAAATGAATAACCATTATAAATCCAAATGAATACACAATAGATATGGAAGCTAAACAGACAACCACCAGTAAGAAGCAGTATATTCCATCTCTGACCCAGAGACAGACAGACAGACCGACTGCATCCTAACCTAGTACAATTCAGGTATGGGGCTGTTTCCATCCCTGATTTGCCCACCCACATGTGCACACAGTCCTTCTCTCACATTGGCATGGCTGCTTCTGCAGCCTTACAGCGAGTTTGTTCAGAACCTGATTCAGTGAAAGATTTGGAGCCTAAAAATTAAAATTTAGAATACTGTGGGATATTTAAAAAAAAAAAAAAAATCACAGGCTTAGTAAAGGCTTTATTTAATTAGTGAAGATAACAGGGTTTACAGCATAGTAAGCCCCACCCTTCCCTTGAATACTCCCATGCTCTGCAAGTCATAAATTCTCTCTTTCCTATGGGAAATAATTTTTTTTCCAACCTAACAGCTTCTGTAGTCTATCATATAGACTACATAATAAATATGCTGGAACAACTAATGGTCCAACAATTATCATATCCGGTTCAACTCAGAGCAACACGTCTCAATTTAACTTGGGCTATTTCTGCTTCAATTTCAGACTTAAAGAAAGGTTTGTATGCCAGAAAGGTCACAGATTTTTTCCACCTGTATCTGAAGTTTAATACAATATATTACTGTTCCTGGAAAACTTATTTCATGAGATTATTGCAGATGAAGTGAAAAAATTAGTTAACTACTCCTACTCCACTATCATAACAGCAGTTCATCCTTACATTGTTACATCAATTACCACTCCTGCTGGGAAAGTTTCAGAAATTGTCTGTATTACCACTGCTTGGTAAGCTTGACTTAACAATTGAGCAAGAATGTCCTTTTACAAAGCTTAAAGCAAAAAGGACGTTTTCTTCTCTAGCCAATATTGTGGGCTACAAGAAATTAATTCCTAGTACATTCCAGAATAGTGCTGAGACTTGAGTAACTGTAGACCCAGCTGCAGAAACCACCAATTTATAGCATGTTAGTATTTATTAGTATTATTTCCCTCAAAATAGTAACACATTTTTCCTGAAAAATAATGAATTTCTGCAATGTGAAGTCTATACATCAGGTCAATACTGGATCCTTCAAACAGACTATCCGTGCTAAAGACAACAGTTCAGTATTTAAACTTCTGCTCATACTTACAGGTCAATAATCTGCCTTTCTCTAGCTAACGTTTCACTTTAAAAATCCCTCTTCACTAATTTATCTACTGTATCTGCCATGGCCAAGAAATATCTTTTGTAACATGCAGGAAAACTAACATTCTCAAACTGAATTAGATGTATCATCAATAACACACAAACTATTCCAAAATGGTACTTTCTGAAGAGCTGAATACCTCTCTCTGCACATGAGTATGGCCTGGGAGCTACCATGGCCCCCACTCATAGGCCCCCAAAAGCCACCCAGAAATTCCAGTTCAATATACATCCTTCATTTCCTGCCTTCCTTGTCAGTTCCAACCTTGCAGTCAGATAATATTTTATTTGTTCCTCACAGCTGTACATCTGGGGCTCTGCCATCTCCCATATGACACCCACATTTGCCATATTTGATCACCCAGCTCCTGTCTTTCACCCATCATGTCAGGCTATCATCTCTTCAGCTAAATTGTTATGAGTCTACAGCATTGCGTAACATTTTATAAAGCTTACAAGAGTATCGAGCACCTTTTCTGTAAAACCATTACACTGCATTAAACACAAACTGCTTTGCTAAAAAAGACACATCATCAAAAATTTTCACAAGTCTGAAGCTTGCTCTTTTCATTCTGTCCTAGTCAGTCTAAACACCCTTCAGACTGTCTGAGCATTAGCAGGTTTTTGGCTTTCACTTCCACTAAGCTTTCAAGACACTCCCAAGCTTACCGTTTTAACTTTGGTTTTTGTACTGCAGGCTGTGGTGCGGGATTTGAAAAGGCTGTACTTTTGCTGACCGGCACTGAGTTTTTCTTGGAGTTGGCAACCTGAGCAGGGTGACTGGTAGATGATTTGGGGCTCCTTCTCTTGATTTTCCTTTCTTCCATTTCTTCCAATTTACTGCATGTGGACTAATTTCTTGCCCTCCAAAGGGAAGGAAAAAAAGTAAGAAACATCCATTAAAACTAGCATGTACAATAAGAGCAAGGGAAAAAACAGGTCACAGTGCATGGAAATACAGCTTTATAGTTTCTTTAAAAAGATGAGCAGTCATTCATTTCCTCAAACAAGAGAATCCAGTTTTCAGGAGACGCGGCCCAGGCCTGCCTGATCAGCAAAACGGGCAGGAATTAAAATCTTCTGCATCAGCTTCGGCCGACAGGTACCTCAAAATTATCTCAAGCTTTGCGTCCCATGGATTACTGCTAGAAAACACCGCGACTGCTCAAGTCCACGCCAATCAAAATACCGAGAGACGACGGTGGCACGAGGATGTCGTGATTCATCCTTGCCAAATAACTTCCTCTAAAGGGAGGGGCAATGGCCGTGTCAAAGCTCAGCCGATGCCGAGTTAATTATTGCTGTTAGAGATGCTACTGATGGGTGCTACCCAGTGATACATACGCTAGATGGCTGCTATTACCGGGTGCTACCCAACAACCTCCTGGCCTGGCGAAACGCCTCCTCTGCAATCCACCACCCCGCTGGGGCGGCAGAGGGTGCAGCGCGCACAGCGAGGCGAACCCCGGGACGCCACCGCCGACCCACCGAGGGGCGCTCCCCCGCTCCAGACCCGCCGCCACCTCCCGGAGCAACCACCCCTGCCCCTTGCGACAGACAGCCCCGACCGCAGGCCGCCATTTTATCAGCACGGGGACGCGGCCTGTCACTCCGGAAGGAGGAAGGGGGGGG